TAGCATTGGCACCTGAATCACTGAAGCTCGAGCTGACGTCAAGATCAAGGATCGCCAGGGAATGCATGCTGGTGGGGCTGGTCGTTTACCTTACGGTGATTTCCAGTATTTTGCGGAGGAACTGAGAAAGATAACTAAACATTTGCGCAAGTTCATCACATTGGTTAGGGTTTACATATTGCCTACTCCTGACCATAGGAAAATGAAGAAAAAGTTTACATACGGAGGATAATTTAAATGGTTTGAACTCATGCTAAGAATGATGATTGTGAAAAGGGGTTTGGTATGTTAGCATTAGTATACAAGTTGAAATATTCCTTTTTGGGAAATGTTCCTCTGAAAAGGACGTCAGGCCAGAATACTGAGTTACTACATCTTTCTCTGAGAAAATATTAACTTTCATTGATATTTCACATATAGGCATGTAGTAATGAGGCTAAACTTAAGACATACTTATTTTTAAAATCTGACATTGTAAATATAATTCTATCAATTTTACACTGTATCTATTGTTTTTTCTTTTTTATCCTTTTTTTCTTTTTCTTTTTTACTGGCGTCTCTTTCAATATCTAAATTAAAAATGTTATGTTTATCATAAATCATATTCCATATCGATTCCACACTGACAACGGATTAAATTATTCTCCATTTTTTAATGTTGAGTCTAGATTTATTGGTGTAATTTTCTCTCTGAAGAATCAATTCTATTGTTTTGTATTACTATCAAAATGGCGTCCACATATTTTGGCAAAGTTTTAAACTCATTGTGTGCTTTTTAATAGACTATAATCACTCATCGCAATCTTAGTATAGTGTCGTCAATAGTTTCTTTGGTGTGGACTGTTCTAAATGTTGCAATGTCTTTATTATACCGATAGTTTTCAGAAGTGCAAGGACAGATTTCATCTTTTTGTGCTTCGCCTCCCTCTGAAGCCACAATGCAAAATCATATTTGCCCAATCATGATGACTCTATAGACATATCCACGCGTGTGGATGTGATTAAGGATTGCGCAAAAGACTGAAGCGTCTCCACAATTTGATATTTACGATAAATCATGACGCTTGCGCAATCTTGAGTGACGGTGTGTGGAAATGACTGCGCAAGTTGTATCAGTATGCCATCCTTAGCAATAATGAGTTCATGAAACACAAGAGATGACGGGAATTTAATGAAACTGACCCCGATGCGACACAGAAAATGGTCAACATTCCCAGCAAATTATTAATTGTTTCCCTGTTTACTTGTAGGAAATTCGTGGAATCTGCACCAGAGATTTCTGGTCCTTGTGCAAGATTGCGTGATTCTTTACATGTTTATGTCTTTATTCCTTACTTATCTTGACTGGATGAGTTGCACACATCAACTGACGATTACACAGTACCATTGTTGATAATTCCTGATGTTTGTATAACATTGTGTAATCAAAGTGTATGGGTTCTTTAGATTTTGCCGGTTGCTTTGCTACTTTTGTAGAAGTTTACTTGCGAATGTTTTGTATAGCATTCAATGCGCGCGCGCGCGTGTGTGTGAGTGTGAAGGTCTGGTGGCTTTGCATATGAATTTGACAGCTGTATACGTTTTCATTTCCTTTGATGTTATCGTCTTTCTTTGTAGTTAAGAAGCCAAACCACTTCCGTGTTCTACCTATCATTGGATTGTAAATTCATGTTACCAAACCAGCGACGTTTACTTTGCTGCTATTTCTTTTTCTCTTTTCTATTAATTGCTTCTAGAATAACAAGGAGTTCTGGTGCCGGGACTGAATGTGAGATTAGCCTTATTTAGCTTTGGTAGAAGTGTGGGATTTGAGTTCCTTTTCCCGGATAACCTATTTAGGATGTGAAGCAGGCCTGTTATTTACGGATTTGCCAATGGAAGGTAGTTGAAGGCAGTCCGTAACAAGGTTATATATATATGTGTGTGTGTGTGTGTGTGTGTGTGTGTGTGTGTGTGCGTGCGTGTATTTTTTTCAGTTTTTTTAAGTCCGATGGTTTTCAGAACAAAGAACGAAGATTTTTTTGTTTCTTGGAATATCCTTGCGTCATGAATACAATAAATTGGCATTATCTCTAACCCCAGTGGCGTTTCCACTTCATGAGTATAAATATAATCTAAACCAACGTTCGTAGTTTATTGAACGTAGCATTTTCATCGATGTTAAAATTATCGTGTAATTAAGCTTCGATTACAGTTTCGACAATTCCGAATGGATCATTGCTTTGTATATTCGTAAAAAAAGGTGATTCGGATTTTTTTTTTTTTTTTTTTTTTTTGATATCGCTTGTTACATTTTCGTGTTGCATCCCCGATATGTAAGCTTGGGTGTAAAGTTTTCTTCCAACGTTGTCAAAATTGTCCACGGTTATTAGTTTTTACAAATCAAGGCTTATTAGTAAGTAGTGTTTTCATTGAAACAATAATTATATAATAATAAGCGGACAATAAACTATTAAGACAAGTATAAAGCCTTACATATTTAGATACAAAATTAAATAAATGCTTGTATTTCGATTTCCGTCACGTCAGTCACTTCGATCAATGTAACAATAACCAGAAAGTGTTGTCAAATCGCCATTTTCTACAATACTTCCGCCTCTCACATTTGAGCTGCGAGAATGAACCCGGTGAATTGTAATTTTTGTGTTACTCTCTACAATACCCCTTCTTTCAAACTTATCGGGGAGAGGAGGGGGGATGTACACAGCGGTTCCGTACTGCATAGGAGCAACCATCGAGCAATCCGGTGCTTTTTTTTATTGCATTCTTGTCTGTGTGTGCCTGTATCATCCAATAAAAGTAGGTTTCTCGTTTAGTTGCTTTATGTGTTGATGTCTATTCCTTTTACTTTTTTTCTGGATAGTCAGTTATGGTGTACTTGAATAATCTAAGAATATCCATCAATGTAGGAGAAAGGGAAAGACTATCGTTCCTAATCGCAAAATTCCTCAGCATCACTTTTTGGTTTCGTTATGGCATTATTCCTCAGATTCGATTTTGTCCTTTATGATTCTATTCTCTTATGAAAATTTGCAGCTGTGTGGAGAACGTCTTTGCGGATTCTTTATGCGTTATATTCTCCTTACCATTTTACTTTTATTTACAGTAAGCTACATACTCTGTTCGCATCGTACAATTATTAAACTTTCGAATCGCCTAGTTTTTCCATTTGTTGTTGATTTCGAGTTTCATTTTTAAAAAATCATGGTCTAATAGCGCAGGGGCCGGATACATAAAAGGACCTTAAAGTTATGGCGCGCTCGAGGCTTTAACCGTCCTGTGGCGACTGAAATCATAGCCCGGCGAAGGCGCCGTATCTCGGGACTTGACTTGGTATAAACAAACGTTTTTCTTCCGGCGCCTTTCCTCGCCTTTAGACCCCGCACCGCAGTAAATCACTTACGGCGTCGGATCTTTAGTGGCTGCTGTTTCAGGCGGCTTTTGGGGAATCTTGACCAATCACAAGCCGTGACTGCTCATCAGCCGAGTTGTTTGTAAACAAAACGCTGTGCCCAGCCCGTGGCATTATAAAACTTTTAACGAATATCTTTTCAGAATCAGTAAAGCTGGAAAAATATCCAAGATTCTTTGAAAAAAAAACTAAACTTATTCATGGAATGCATAAGTATCGTGAAATATAGGACGAAGTATGGTCACCTCGGGAGGGTTATTTAAGCATACTTTGAACTTCAGACCTATTGCCAATTTAACAGATAATACATATCCCTCAAACGACGATATTTAAAATATTGATATTAAACAGCATATTAATTAATAAAAATAAGCACAAATAAAACTGCATCCGAGGCGAAAACAGTACTTATGTTAGTTTTAGTGTAATGCCCTGTTTACAAATTCAACACTTGGCGTGGAGTGAGATACACTCCTATTGGCAAAAGCAATGCAGTTATATATGAATATTTCACTTACTGCCTTATTTAGGAGTCCACGATTAGTTAATGCACAGCTGAGGACACTATATTTGAACGAAACAAACTGTAAGGTTGTAGTGATTATTTGAGGGATAAAGAAATGCAATTTCTGTTTCGCCGTAACCCGCTAGGCTGCTCTCCCCATGCCTTACTCAACGGCTCCTTGTATTTGTAACGTCGCCGTAACCAAGTACCCGGCTCCGGAATTCTTTCCCGGAGGCTTGGATTTCCACACTAGACATGCGCCCGTTTCCCGCGTTGTTGTTTTTGTCATCAGGCACCTGCATCGCACTCTCATAAGGGCCAGTCGCTTAATGTCGACCCGCATCCTGTTATCAGCGTTGCGACATCTACATTTTACAGCAAGCCTCTTGCTTGTTTTGTTTTTTTGCATATTGCATGCGATTTTCCATGGATAAGAGTATCGTTGTCCAGTGTACTTTTACATTTAAATATCAAACTGAACAGCTATGCTAACACTAACAAACACATCTTACTATTTTCTCGTGAATTCAACAGCTCCACATATTAAACCTAGGTAATCTTGAGAATGCTATACCTGCAAATTAATCGGATTTTTCAGGCATATCAAAATACCGCTCATCCATACATTATAAAAGCACTACTGATGGACCTTGCTAGTGACCGTCGTCGGTACAGGACAAAAGACGGTCTATTTTCAGCACACGAAAGATTACCATCTCTTCTCTTTCCTAACCACAGTGTTCTTGCCATTCGGTAACTAGTTTCTTCTAGAAAGGGTTTGTTCTTTCCTCTTTTTCTCATTTTCTATTTTTTGACTCGATAAATAAACAAATTCTGCGTTTACTTAAGTTCAGCTTGATCTTAAGCCTTTTTATTATTACACATTCAGTCCAACTATTGTACAATTTCTAGTTGAAAATATTCATTTGCATAAAGAATCCTGTAAAAGCAGGCAATTTCAAATTTTAACAAGATTACACCCACATTCTATTTTGTGAATAACAATATATGATAACCAAAAATGTCTTTAATCAGTGCAGCAAAAAATAAGAATTAAGGGATAATTATAATCAAACCTCTACAAATGTTTATACCTGATTTTTTATTTTACATACCAAGCATATTAAGTTTAGTAGTATTGTCATACTTGCAGACCATCTTCTATTTCGTCTCTCCAAATCTTAACTTCCATTCAAAACCATATTGTAGTTAATTTAGATTTTACTATTCAATTTAGACATGATAACTGATGGCACAGAAGGAGCTTTATAACAACAAATCAAACACTTTACTAAAGAAACAAATCCTGGTGACACGTCTTATACACCCTCTTCTTTTCTCTGCTTTTATAGATGTTTTATGTTACTTTCCCAACCCCCTATCTACCACTGGTGAAAGAAAAGGTCGTAATGAGACTCAGTTGATGAAGTTGGTTTATCCTTACTATTTGAGACAGTCATTCACAGAAGCAGATACAGTGGAATGATTACAGCAAGTGATTAGTGAGGCCTTGTAACTCACTCACTCTCTCTTTCCTTTTAACTTGTGTCGTGAAAATTAATATGCTCTTTACTAGCAGGACTTTTCCACTTCAACATCACTGTAAAATAAATCCTATGAAGTATCAAACAAAACTGGAAATGTAAAAAAAAAGGAAAAAAAGAAAAGAAAAAAAAAGAAAGAAAAAAAAAAAAAAAAAAAAAAAAAAAAAAAGAGGAAATCTTCACTGATCTCATGGACAAAAACAAAGAAATAAAACTCCAATGATTTACTGGACAGTCTTATTGTTTAAATCTTTCTCGCTTGAAGAACATGAGCTTTCAAGTCAGACAATGAGATGATTTTACACATACAGCAATACATGAGAAGCCTGATACCGTAGACTGACAACTTAATTGATCCTGACTCAAAAAAAGAAGAAAAACTTCAATATGAAGTTAGAGATCTATGTCTAGCAGAGGGTATGATTATGTACAAATATTAATAATGCTTCTTCTGACATAGTCATTGCTATGACATCCACTCTACTAACTTAACTATGTGCTATACTTTATAAAGTCATTGCTACACCTACCAGTTACTATGGACAGGGGCACATTGTATCACCAGAATCCCTCAATACATAAAAAGTTTGAGGAAAAAAATATATATAAAAAGAGAGAGAAAAAAAAAACTATACCTGGACATGAAGCCCTAGGCCAATGCCTAATTCAGTTCAAGCAGTGGTACATACCCTCATGACATTGACATCGTAATCAATTGGTATTTCATGATCTGCAATTTCTACTCTACTTGACATAGTATGACCTTATGTTCACACTAAGAATTAAGCGGTGATTAAGACCAAGATTTGAAATTATGAGATTAGGTGCTGTTGTCAATGCTATACTGTTCGTAAATGGAAGGTAACCCTGCAACTTATCAAACAAAACATTACAAACAAAGCATTATTCAGGGAATCCCATGTCTTGACGTCAACACATTTCTTCTCAGGCTATACTGCAGAAGAGCAGCCTTAGCTAATCCCTGTAACTTCCCATATCCATGATATCGCATTAATCGACATCCATTGGTTCTGTTGGCTTTTCACTGGACTGCTGCTGCTCATTGTTCTTGGGGCCATTAGTCTGTTCTCCCGCATTCTTGTCCTCCTCTCCTTCTTTCTTCTCTGCTGGGGGTGGCTCCTCCACCTGCGAAGTTCAGATTTCATTCATGTTTTTGTCATATGATGTTAATCTAACAGATCATAAGATTTTAAAATCAACTGCAATCACCCTGTAAATATTTTAAAGTAAAGCCATTTGCAAAAAAGAAAAAAGAAAAAAATTAAATCCCAAAGCAGCTATAAATATTATTCAACCTATCAAAACACAATACACAGAAGAAACTTACCTTTGGTTTGGGCTTTGGCTTGTTAATAATTGGATTAACCAAAGCTTCAAAGGTTCCCTTCTCTGACTTGACCTGATTGGCAGAAATTGGCAAGTTTACATGCAGAGGAGTCGATACAGATGCTCCCATATTTTTGTCTACCCATTCTTGCTTCTCAGTAATTGCCTTCTCAACCTGAAAAGGGAGGGAAAAATGGGCAAGGTTAACATTTACTTTGTTAGTAGTTTATCCTCTTTGATTTGCTACCTTGCTGTACAAGAATAACATTCTATTATTAAAAAATCATACTATACCAAGGGATAACACAATTGCCTATAATCAACCCCTTGAATCCGGATGCTTCACTGCCCACACGTGAACCAAAATAAGGGTATTAGGTCTCTCTGACAGGCCAGGCACACACAAACACTTGTGTGCCGTGAAAAGACTACAAACCTACCCTTTACAATTGTCTTCTCTTTCTGAATAAGCATTTTTAACTTTATTACCATTTTCTAATGTCTATATTTGTCATTTGATTTGCTTTACCCACATTGTAATATACTGTTTTCCTTGTACAGAATCCATATCTCTCTAGGTAGTCCAAAAAAAACTCAGTGCAATAATAACAATAATAAGCAAAATCTTGTTATTTGTCATTAGCGCATGGAAATAGCATCCATCCATGGAGCCAACACTCATCTGGTGGTTCACAGGAGGTACATTTCACGCTCATTTATCTATGGAAGTATTGCAAAATCCCCTTCCTAATTGCCCATTGCATCTAATCACTTTCCAAGGCGTTTTTGCAGTCATGATGAGGCATTCCTATCATCCTTCCCCTCAGCCAAATTTTCCCAAGACAGCTTATGTTCAAGCCTGCCATTCAAGCCAAATTTTTTCCACACCACAAGTCACATCATCTGCATCATAGAGGTAAAACATTAAAAAATGACAATCCTACTTGTTCTAAAACCAAATTGGCTGCATTTTTTTCTATAATAATAATAATAATAATAATAATAATAATAATAATAATAATAATAATAATAATAGTAACAACAAAACATTAGACTATTTATAATAAAAATAATAATTAATACAATCTTGGATAAGATTTTTTTTACTTTATTACCTTTTCCACCTGAGCAGCTTCAAGATGACTATACTTCTCCTCTCCATTACGGAACTGTTCTGTCGCCTTGCGTGCCAGCTGAATGGAACTCAATAGGCTTTCAAACGCCCTGGGAAGTTCTTCTCGTTCTCGCTTCCTGTCCTTGATCGGCTCACCATGTTTCTGGGGTAAAATGATTTTGTCAGACAAAATTTAAAACTGTTATTGCACAAAAAAAGTGAAATATTTACTGTACAATGAAAATGTTACATGAATCTGCTTCTTTAAATCTGAAAAACCTTACTACCCATTTTTTTGTACTCCAAATTTAAACAACTTATCAGAAAACCCTCACAAAACCTTTATAATTTCAAAATATACTGTATCCTTGACTTACCTTTAGTTCTGTTAATTTATCCAAGTAGACTTGCTTCTTGCAGTCTTCACCATCTTCGTAGAGCCAATTCTCGGTATCTTCCAACAGACGGCCTAACTTCTCTCTATCGCCTTCACTAATATACTTTTCCAATTCTTCATAAATACGACCCCTAATGTCATACACATATTCTTCCACAGCATTCTGAGCACAGAGAAAATAAAATTAAGATTTTTTCTTTTTTTAAATAAGGAAACAAATAGTAATCTACTGCTTTTAAGTCATAAAAAATAAGACAGTAATGCTTTCTGATACATAATCAATCCAGTAGATTCAACACTTACCTTAGCATTAATTCGTTCATTCTCTAGCTTATCTGCCTGGACCATCTGAGCTTCTCTCTCCACCAAGTTGTTCATATCAGTGGCACTATGCGACTTGTTGACCTCGTTGATGGGAAGCTCTACAGTTTTCATGACATTCTTGACCTTCTTCTCTCCACCTTCATTCTGTTTTTGGTTCAAAGAGAAATGTTGTGGCTCAGCAATACTTACATCCACACAGTTATTCAAAGAGCATGTTCCAAAGTAAATAAAGTTGTAATTGCAATTGTGCAGATTCTATCTCTCGAGTCGTCTAAATTGCAAGTGGAACTCTTACAGATTTCTGCAACTTTTTCACATTTGACAATGTACAAATAGAAATACAAACAGAAAACTAACCTTTGTTGGTGCTGCTCCTTCTGCTGGTTTGTCAGTATCCATTTTCTATTTGGTAAAAGGAGAGGCAAGGATAAGTACTACTGGAAACCTTTGTACATTTGGCGACTCCCTTCCGACTATTGGCAGGACTCAAAATTATGATACTTTAACACAATCTAGATCAAATTAATACAGGTGAAATGGATGCAATTATGATAATATCAAGCTCACTATATCAACACACGATCTTGAAAAGGAAAGTAATACTGCTTATTCCTACCCTAACAACAGGGAACATGAAAACCCAAACTAATTAACCAGTTTACATCATCACTCAAAAGTACAGGGTTAACATGATATAGAAGAAGAGAAGAAGAAGAAGAGAAGAAGAAGAAGAGAAGAAGAAGAAGAAGAAGAAGAAGAAGAAAGAAGAAGAAGAAGAAGAAGAAGAAGAAGAGAAGAAGAAGAAGAAGAAGAAGAAGAAGAAGAAGAAGAAGAAGAAGAAGAAGAAGAAGAAGAAGAAGAAGAGAAGAAGAAGAAGAGAAGAAGAAGAAGAAGAAGAAGAAGAAGAAGAAGAAGAAGAAGAGAAGAAGAAGAAGAGAAGAAGAAGAAGAAGAAGAAGAAGAAGAAGAAGAAGAAGAAGAAGAAGAAGAGAAGAAGAAGAAGAAGAAGAAGAAGAAGAAGAAGAAGAGAAGAAGAAGAAGAAGAAGAAGAGAAGAAGAAGAAGAAGAAGAAGAAGAAGAAGAAGAAGAAGAAGAGAAGAAGAAGAAGAGAAGAAGAAGAAGAAGAAGAAGAAGAAGAAGAAGAAGAAGAAGAAGAGAAGAAGAAGAAGAAGAGAAGAAGAAGAAGAAGAGAAGAAGAAGAAGAGAAGAAGAAGAAGAAGAAGAAGAAGAAGAAGAAGAAGAAGAAGAAGAAGAAGAAGAAGAAGAAGAAGAAGAAGAAGAGAAGAAGAAGAAGAGAAGAAGAAGAAGAAGAAGAAGAAGAAGAAGAAGAAGAAGAAGAAGAAGAAGAAGAAGAGAAGAAGAAGAAGAAGAAGAAGAAGAAGAGAAGAAGAAGAAGAGAAGAAGAAGAAGAAGAAGAAGAAGAAGAAGAAGAAGAAGAAGAGAAGAAGAAGAAGAAGAAGAAGAAGAAGAAGAAGAGAAGAAGAAGAAGAGAAGAAGAAGAAGAGAAGAAGAAGAAGAAGAAGAAGAAGAAGAAGAAGAAGAAGAAGAAGAAGAAGAAGAAGAAGAAGAAGAAGAAGAAGAAGAAGAAGAAGAAGAAGAAGAAGAAGAAGAAGAGAAGAAGAAGAAGAGAAGAAGAAGAAGAAGAAGAAGAAGAAGAAGAAGAGAAGAAGAAGAAGAAGAGAAGAAGAAGAAGAAGAAGAGAAGAAGAAGAAGAAGAGAAGAAGAAGAAGAAGAAGAAGAAGAAGAGAAGAAGAAGAAGAAGAAGAAGAAGAAGAAGAAGAAGAAGAAGAAGAAGAAGAAGAAGAAGAAGAAGAAGAAGAAGAAGAAGAAGAAGAAGAAGAAGAAGAAGAAGAAGAAGAAGAAGAAGAAGAAGAAGAAGAAGAAGAAGAAGAAGAAGAAGAAGAAGAAGAAGAAGAAGAAGAAGAAGAAGAAGAAGAGAAGAAGAAGAAGAGAAGAAGAAGAAGAAAGAAGAAGAAGAAGAAGAAGAAGAAGAAGAAGAAGAAGAAGAAGAAGAAGAAGAGAAGAAGAAGAAGAGAAGAAGAAGAAGAAGAGAAGAAGAAGAAGAAGAGAAGAAGAAGAAGAAGAAGAAGAAGAAGAAGAGAAGAAGAAGAAGAGAAGAAGAAGAAGAGAAGAAGAAGAAGAGAAGAAGAAGAAGAAGAAGAAGAAGAGAAGAAGAAGAAGAAGAAGAAGAAGAAGAGAAGAAGAAGAAGAAGAAGAAGAAGAAGAAGAAGAAGAAGAAGAAGAAGAAGAAGAAGAAGAAGAAGAAGAAGAAGAAGAAGAAGAAGAGAAGAAGAAGAAGAGAAGAAGAAGAAGAAGAAGAAGAAGAAGAAGAAGAAAAGAAGAAGAAGAAGAAGAAAGAAGAAGAAGAAGAAGAAGAAGAAGAAGAAGAAGAAGAAGAAGAAGAAGAAGAAGAAGAAGAAGAAGAAGAAGAAGAAGAAGAAGAAGAAGAAGAAGAAGAAGAAGAAGAAGAAGAAGAATCTACACTCTGGAGGACCATGGCAGCCCGCTGACTTTGAACGTGGGAGTTCGGTACATCAGGCCGAGCTGCGGCGTACAGCCGCACGCCACTTTTCGAGTGGTTTGTTTTCACACCTAGCGGCATCACCCATCATGAAGGGGTTAAGTACAACATGGCTTACCTTTTGGCACTCTCCCTCTGGTCCTGGAGCTATTTTCTGTATCGTATAATTGCCAATAATAGGATCTGGGAAAGAGGCAGGGTCAGTGTACTGAGCCTGAAGTGTGAATGGTTCCCGTCGGTAGAAGGTCAGCATCTTGGAGAATGGTACCTAAAGATAAGGAAAAAATAAATAAATAAATAAATAATAATAATGAGAATAATAAAAAGAAAAAAAAAATTAGCAAATGCACTGAAACTAAAGGAAAATTCTGATCAAAGATCTTTCAAACCAGGCAAATTTTAGGGAGAATGATTACATAATAACATTAATAACATGATTATTACCAGATTGAGTAACAATCTTTAGTCTGAGTATTCTGATGATCAACAGTTTGTTCTAACTTCCTGTTTTAATTCTTAACCAGTAACTGCCGGGCCACACCTATAGCGGTCATAACTGACTCATCACACTGGGTACAGCTAAAGCGAGTCAAGCAGAAAGCTCCACTACATGTAGCCATGGCAAGACGGTTGCCAGAAGTCACCGGAGACAGTGACGCCGAGAGATTTCTGATACCGTCACAGAAGGATTAAATATATTTATCTTCACACACAAGTCTTGCAATAATAACAAACCAGTCTTACCTGATGATTCTTTGGGAACACTTCCATATCGCCTTCCTGGCCAGACTCATCCTGCCAAACTAATCGAATACTGTACGGCTGCACGTCCGTTATTGAGAATTCTCGTACCTGAAAGTAAGTATTCCATTTCAAAACACTACACTAATACATACAAGTACAATATTCTTCCTCTTGAAGATGTGATGATAAATGAATACACTGATTTCAATAGCTTACTGGAAAACCACTAAGATTTTATGGACTTGGAACATCGTACTTTCTCCTCTTCTTTTTCTTGTCCCAATTCAGAGGCACTGAGACAGCCTCCCTCGTGCTACATCATGCGCTGACCTCTCTTTTAATCCCTCTATGTTCCTTCATATTTTCAAATTCACCAAGCTTGGTGTATATGTTTCACTTTTATCTTAACCCATTGCCACTGGAAATAACCCCTTTATGTACAGTATATCATGTGTCCATGGTGACTTTAGTTTATGTATTATGTTTATACATGCATGGCTCCTTAGGTATTTAGTCACTGATTGCTGGCCTAAACTCTATTATCTGTTTACCCTTTCCTAGATATTCTGAAATATTATTTTCTATTCTTTATTGCTACCAATACTGTTAATAACGTTATAGTAATCATAATGTCATTAACCCCTTGCCGCCGGGTGACGGCGATACGCGTGTAAACAAATCGCTCGAAAGGTGGCGTGCGGCCAAACCAGCCGGCGGCGCGCCAAAGCGCGGCGAGCCAGTGATTCGGGCTGACGCCCCGTACTCCTGCGCTCAAAGTCGGCGCGCTGCCTTTGTTTGCCAGAGCGTAGAGTTTTATTTTCCTTTAGTACACCCGGCGTCATTGGGTTAATAACAATAATACTGATATTCATAGCATTGGGAAAAAAAATTGAGGAAAGAGGAAATCAGGTGGTCACAGGTGGGCCTAAAAACTGATTCTTCGGTGGCTGAGGACTCGAAGATAATTCACAAAACAAAATGACAGTGGACATGTGGACATTTCATATTCCCAAAAATAATGGGTTTATATTATTGTAAGAGCAATAAAGAAAAGTCTATACAGTTTGTAATTCAATATTTTTTCCAGATCACAAATTCGCCAGTATCTAGTTCTCCTTTTACAGATCTTCAACAGTTTCATCCAACCAGCAGCAGTTTATACTCAAATTTCATTTTCTATTGTAATGCGTGTGTGCGCATGTGCGTGTGCATGTGTGATTCTCATATCTGTAAGTGTTAATACAGGCATTTCTGACTTCATGTTCATTTATATCTCGATATCTAGTATCATAGTCAAATTGGACTCATTACCCTAAAGTTGAAAGCTGACTTTTCTTACAGCATTTTATTTGATTATCTGAAAAGCAAATATTCAAAAAGGAATAGATAACCAATTGTTATACCATTTGGGGGAAATGCACATCATTCTAGGAAATATAAAAAGGAAATATGCTAAAAGTGGTACAAGTAAACATGTTCCTAGTAAAGGGAAGTACAACATGCCTGAGGTATCCTACTCTTATCTGTATTAACAATTATCTACATTGACGGCTGCATAATGTGGCATCTGACAAAGGGACAAGTAAAAAAAATGAAAAGGCACAATGTGGCAACTTTCCAAATTGTCAAAAAATTTAAGATCTTGAAAAAACATTTCCATAGTAAAACAGAGAGTGATAGTGTGCAAATGGAGCAAACTGTGCCCATACACTAGCAGTTTAGAGAAACAAAATAACAAATTTATAAAACTAAGAAATCAACTTCAACTTACCTTAAAAGCAGGGGAGAGCATTGCACACTGCAGTGCACATCCTCTTGCCACTGCTTCATCTTGGTTGAGTGTAGTCGAGGGCGTTTTCCTGAACACTTTTTCAATCAACTGCTTAATGGCTGGGATACGAGTTGATCCGCCGACAACTTCAACCCCATAGATGTCATCTAGCCTAAGGTTGGAATCAGCCAGGCATGTCTGCAGCGTGATCTCAACGCGATTGAACAGCGACTCAGCCATGCTCTCCATGGCAGTCCTAAATACAGAGGATCAGTGTTAATTTCATGATAATACCAGAAGACCTAAATTAGGTTTCTATGTCTTATGACTAAATGACATGTCAAAACAAAATGCCAAAGACTAAGTAAAATCTAGGGCCTATTTCTTGAGAGCATTTGTCGTGAAATAATTACAAAACCAGAGGAAAACCAGATAAATCAAAACTTTAGGTACTCTAAAGGCATAAAACTTTCTTCCCTATATCAGGGTTTCCCAATGTTTATGCTTAAAATTTCAGTGAAAAAATAAAAAAACATATCACTTGTCTTACGCATACCTATTTAGTTTACCACTAACATCCTTATCATCCATGAAACACTCAATGTTAATAGGAAGATCTGTAGAGTTTGCTGACATTTGCTTTTTCAGTTTCTCAACTTCAGTCAGGAGCCTGACCCATGCACGGGGACTGGTTGTTGCATCTACCTGCAAGGGGAAATCATGCAAATGTTTATTATTTCTGAATCTGACAAGTATCATTTAAACATATCATTTTCCATTATAACATGTTTGTTTTTTTCTTTTCAGTTTTAACACATGCTCATTCTTCTTTATACATTATTTAATAATCTATTTCACATGTATTTTCTATTGAACTATTTATACCATACATCAACCTGAAACCTCAAATCTACTATGTATTACCTTGAATCTAGTCTTGAAGTCATTAGCAAAGTAGGTAGCTAATAGATGGTCAATCTGCCTTCCACCAAGATCAGAATCAGCTGCTGTTGCAAGCATCTTGAGCTTTCCCTTATTAAATGCAACTGCAGACACCTGAAACAAAAATAAATAAATGATGCTTCATGTTTGTTCATTTTTTCACCATTAACCATTGTATACATGAACAGCTGACCCTCTTAACAACATTCAGTCTTTAGTGTTAGAGAAAGAAAAAATCTAACTTATTTAAAACCTGTCAGTTGTCACAGGTTTCCTAAGGAAGGACGAATTAACAGTATGAAATCCAATGTGAAAAATAGCAAAACAAATATAAAAAGGCTAAAAAATAAATAAATAAACAAATAAACAAACAAATAAATAAATAAAATAAATAACAATAATAAAACGACAAGAATAATGTTTAAAAAAATTAAAAAAGACGAAATATTACAAAACATAATACAATTTTATGGCACTACTGATAAATTATCAAGGATTAAAGCAAAAGTGCACCAAAACAACTGATCACAGGTATAAGCTAACAAGCTCACTATTTATGAAGAAAAATATTCCCCACATAAGACCTGATAAATAAACTTATACATTGTAAGAGCAATAAAATAACTGCATTACATCATTATCGAATCTCATATCTGAAGGCACACATCAAACAGCAGTTAACATAATAAACCCGATTCTGTCGGGCCATGACATCATAACAAACCACTTGTTGTGCAGAGTACGTCTGTATGCCGCAGCGACGTGCCAAAGTGCTTTGAGCAGGGCTTTCGGCTTATTGTATCGAACTCCCGCCCTCAAAGTGTAGAATTTTTATTTATTTTCTTCATCCAGCAGTAATGAGTTAATAGAGACATTTCACTAGCAGTACATCACCACCATGCAAGTTCTAAGTATTGTTTTCTGTGTTTTAAATTGCCTGTATTCTATCTAAACCCCTCATGACTGGATTTTTGCACTCCATACCAAGCCACACACAAGGCTGCACACACGAGTCGCTTGACTAACAAAATAGGAAATCCAGAAAACATTTATCCTGTTCTCTATGTTCTGGCTGTGGCATAAACAAGGGTTTTAGGAAGTGGGTGCTAAAAGGAGGGTATATCTGTCGGGCCACGCCCATAGCCATCATAAACAGACACATCATGCTGGATATGGCAAGAAGTGTCATGATGCACTCAAGCGAATCAAGTGGAAAGTTCCACTACATGTAGCAGACTCCCAGGCCAAACATCAGGATAGTTGCCAGAAGTCACCAGAGTCAGCGACGCTGAGAGATTTCTGATACTGTCATTGAGGGGTTAAGCATACTTTGTTAAGTTTCTACCTCACTGATCAGTCAGAGCCAAACAAGAGAACTATTTACCACCCAAAACTTAAAGTGGGCTCAACTGTGTATGATTTGATGTGAATGGTTTACATTTACTTAAAGTGAACATCAACAATCTGAGGACTAAGTGAAGGGCTATAATTTCAAGGACCAATGTGGCATAAGAAATTTTTGGTTTCCTTAATGTAATTTCAGTTGAATCCTAGTTTTTAGGAATCTGATCCTAACATCCAACTGTATTCTCAAAACCCTACAGGACATAAAATGTATACTAGTCAGCAGTGTCTCTCTCTTTTTACCCCTACATGTATATATAATTACATTCATCTAACAAACAACTATCACCTTTTACTTTTAGGAGATGCAGTAAGCCACCGATCAAGTCATGACCTCTACTTAGAACCCTGATATTCACCACTCACATATCAAAAAATATTTCTATGTCATAGTTGATTAGTTTAACCAACAACTATTATCTATCAATTCTTTACATATGTATTTTATGACAAGAATGATTCCTTACCTGAAGATTTGAATGACCACAGTCTACAAAGACCACATTTCTTGGCTTCTCCTCAGGTGCTGGAAGGTCCTGCTTATAGATACCGTAAGCCAGGGCTGTGGCAGTGGTCTCATTCATCAGTCGGAGGACATTGAGGCCAGAGATGACTGCAGCTTCCAAAACTGCACGGCGCTCAGCATCAGTAAAGTAGCATGGAACCTGAGAAGGAAGTTTAATGCATTATTCTTTATGTTCTAGAAGGTATTTCTAAAAGTTTGTACATTTACTGTAGGTTCCTATAAAAACTGGAATGGAGATGCCAAATACCCATGTCCCACCTATATTTATTATGTTCATAAAAGCAGAATGGGGGAAAAAAATCTGACCTTATCCTCTTGACCACACTGCAATATTTCTAACCCATTGGTGGGATGACATGATATATATGCCATGTCAACTGTCATTTTAGTTTTATTAATTTTACTTACACGATGGCTCCACAAGAGTTTGGCCACCATAGAGTCAATTACTAGTCCTACCTGATCTTACCTAATTACTTCCACTGACAATATCTTACCTATTCTTTCTTATCACCCTATTACTGCTGAGAAACCACCCCTTCATGAGTAGCCAAGCCATTTCTCATTTATGGGCCCCTTTTCCTAGACGGAAGAGAGGTCAGTACCTCCTTTTTTTTGGCCAGATAATAATAAAATTGATGACTATTCTAAACACAATCCTCACACAACAATTTTCAAACAGCTGTAATTCTATATCTTTAATATTTCAACTTTCGGCCACTTATACTTGTATTTAGCATGTGTCAATTTCCAAGCTGTATATAGATTGCAAGTGTACAAAAAAATTACTGTAAATTTTTGCTATAATTCTTAGTTTCTAACAAAAATTGACCCCTACAATATGAATGATGTGACTGTCACATGAAAAAATTGGGCTTGAGGGGTGGGTGATGTGAACATGCTGTCATGAGAAAATTTGGCGGTGGTGCAGGATGACACAAACTTGTCGTTGGGAGCATTTCGGCTGAAGGCTGGAGTGATGGGAATGCAACAAAACCTTTGGAGGAAGATTTGCCTCATTTGGCATTTAGGGGGAGCTTTTCCAGTGCTAGTTCCAGGGAAAACACTATTTCCAAGCTCAGGATCCTACACCTGAATGTTGTGACCAGGTTATATTACAAGAACTGTTGCTAATACCTAAAAGAATGACATAAATTTCCAATATTATTGTCTTTATTATTATTATTAATCATTTGTTTCCCTTGAGATTATTATCTGTTACATAGATCATACTTCATTTTGCTTTTCCTATCCTGGTATGAACTCAGATAATTAAACAAAAACTAGCAAAATACTAAAACCCTTAATAGCAATAAAATAATTAGAGCTAGATAACAAATTACTGAACCTGGCAACCATAAATTCCAGTAAATCACAATGCATTGTATAAGATTTCTCAATATGGTAAACATGAATCTTTAACACTGGCACAAGTAATAAGGTAATATTACACGTTTCTTCAAGTGATGCATAGCATTAGCAATATAAATATCTTTATAAATGTCCTTTCTCTTACTTACCCCAATAACGACATCGTTAACCTTGATGCCAAGGGCTTGCTCTGCTGTTAGCTTTAACTTCGTGAAAAGCATCGACGTAACTTGTAAAGCTGAAAATGTCTGTTCTTCATTTAAGTATCGTACAGCAATGCCAACACTTCTATCTGGTAATTCAACAGTCTTGTAAGGAAGTGGAGCAATTTCAGCCTGCACTTTTGGGTCCCTGAAAAAATAATGGAATTACAGATTTTCCTTCCTTTACCTTTTCCTATATTTTTTTCCCACAATTCTTAAACCGAAAGGGATGACTATCAAACAATATTCAACAAAAACAATTTTTTTTAGCAGCTCTGTTACAAAAACAGTATCAAATATCTTGAACTATCTATCTTCTTAATAATCTGTAAAATTCTAGCACTCTGCTGCTTGTTCTAAATATTACTTAACGTCTAAATATTAACACTGACCTGAAGTGTCTGCCTAATAGTCGCTTGAATCCATGCACAGTATTCTTCATGTTGGTGGTCATCTGGTTTTTGGCAGCGACACCCAAAATGCGGTTCTTTTCCCCAAAAGCGACACATGATCTGAAAAAAAAAATAAATAAATAAATAAATAACAAATTCAATTCCTTTAACCATACTACTATTATTACTACTACTACTAATAATAATAATAATATGATTATCAATAGTGACAACTAAATAATGAAAAAATGACTGGCTGCTTAAAGTGGTGTTGATGATAATAACGATAACAGTAATGATTACATTAGCATTAACACAATAAGAATAATGGCAATAGCAGTTGTAGTAATAGCAGTTGCAGTAATAGCAGTAATAGTAGTAACAGCAACAGTAGTAGTAGTAATAGTAGTAGAAGTAGTAAGAGCAATAGTAGTAGTAATAGCAGTAGTAGAAGTAGTAGTAATAGCAGTAATAGAAGTAGTAGTAATAGCAGTAATAGAAGTAGTAGTAATAGCAGTAGTAGAAGTAGTAGTAATAGCAGTAATAGAAGTAGTAGTAGTAGTAATAGTAGTAGTAGTAGAAGTAATAGTACTAGTAATAGCAGTAGCAGTGGTAGTAATGGCAGTAGTAGTAGTAGTAATAGCAGTAGTAGTAGTAGTAATAGCAGTAGTAGTAGTAGTAATAGCAGTAGTAGTAGTAGTAATAGCAGTAGTAGTAGTAGTAATAGCAGTAGTAGTAGTAGTAATAGCAGTAGTAGTAGTAGTAATGGCAGTAGTAGTAGTAATAATAGCAGTAGTAGTAGTAGTAAGAATAGCAGTAGTAGTAGTAGTAAGAATAGCAGTAGTAGTAGTAGTAATAATACCAGTAGTAGTAGTAGCAATAATAGCAGTAGTAGTAGCAATAATAGCAGTAGAAGTAGTAGCATTAGTAGTAGTAATAGCAGTAGTAGTAGTAATAACAGTAATAGTAGTAGTAGTAATAGCAGTAGTAGTAGTAATAGCAGTAGTAGTAGTAGTAGTAATAGCAGTAGTAGTAGTAATAGCAGTAGTAGTAGTAGTAATAGCAGTAGTAGTAGTAGTAATAGCAGTAGTAGTAGTAATAGCAGTAGTAGTAGTAGTAGTAATAGCAGTAGTAGTAGTAGTAATAGCAGTAGTAGTAGTAATAGCAGTAGTAGTAGTAGTAATAGCAGTAGTAGTAGTAGTAATAGCAGTAGTAGTAGTAATAGCAGTAGTAGTAGTAATAGCATTAGTAGTAGTAATAGCATTAGTAGTAGTAATAGTAGTAGTAATAATAGCAGTAGTAGTAGTATTAGCAGTAGTAGTAGTAGTAATAGCAGTAGTAGTAGTAGTAATAGCAGTAGTAGTAATAGCAGTAGTAGTAATAGCAGTAGTAGTAATAGCAGTAGTAGTAGTAATAGCAGCAGTAGTAGTAGTAATAGCAGCAGTAGTAGTAGTAATAGCAGTAGTAGTAGTAGTAATAGCAGTAGTAGTAGTAGTAATAGCAGTAGTAGTAGTAGTAATAGCAGTAGTAGTAGTAGTAGTAATAGCAGTAGTAGTAGTAGTAGTAATAGCAGTAGTGGTAGTAATAGCAGTAGTAGTAGTAGTAATAGCAGTAGTAGTAGTAGCAGCAGCAGCAGTAGTAGTAGTAGTAATAGTAGTAATAGCAGTAGTAGTAGTAACAACAGTTGTAGCAGTAGTAATAATAGTATAATAATAAATAATTGATATTACTATCGTTCATATCATCAATATTACTATTACTAATAACTGCAAAAATAGTTATAATAAAAAAACAAAAACAATAACCGTAATAATAACAACAAAAAACTTAATGAGAGAGAGAGAGAGAGAGAGAGAGAGAGAGAGAGAGAGAGAGAGAGAGAGAGAGAGAGAGAGAGAGAGAGAGAGAAGACAAGAGGGAAGAGAGAAGACAAGAGGGGAAGAGAGAAGACAAGAGGGGAAGAGAGAAACAAAGATAGAAAAAAAGAAAGAAAAAAAGTGAGTGAGTGAGTGAGTGAGAGAGAGAGAGAGAGAGAGAGAGAGAGAGAGAGAGAGAGAGAGAGAGAGAGAGAGAGAGAGAGAGAGAGAGAGAGAAGACAAGAGGGGAAGAGAGAAGACAAGATAGAAAAAACGAAAGAAAAAAGTGAGTGAGTGAGAGAGAGAGAGAGAGAGAGAGAGAGAGAGAGAGAGAGAGAGAGAGAGAGAGAGAGAGAGAGAGAGAGAGAGAGAGAGAGAGAGAGAGAGAGAGAGACAAGAGGGGAAGAGAGAGAGACAAGAGGGGAAGAGAGAGAGACAAGAGGGGAAGAGAGAGAGACAAGAGGGGAAGAGAGAAAGACAAGAGGGGAAGAGAGAAAGACAAGAGGGGAAGAGAGAAAGACAAGAGGGGAAGAGAGAAAGACAAGAGGGGAAGAGAGAAAGACAAGAGGGGAAGAGAGAAACAAAGATAGAAAAAAAGAAAGAAAAAAGTGAGTGAGTGAGTGAGTGAGTGAGTGAGAGAGAGAGAGAGAGAGAGAGAGAGAGAGAGAGAGAGAGAGAGAGAGAGAGAGAGAGAGAGAGAGAGAGAGAGAGAGAGTGTGTGTATGAGTGTGTGAATGCATGTTGTTGGCATGTGTACAATACATGTGTAAGCACATGCAGGTGCCTAGTGCCACATAGCTCTCTCTAGCTGCACATGTTTCCTCTTAACCTCAATCTCCTTCATCTTTTGCCTGTATGTGTCCGTATGTGGGCGTTTCTGCATGCTTGCGCGCGTACGTGCATGAATACCGGACCGTTTGAGTGAAATACCATTCCTTTTACGACTTACAACTAACCAACTGTCAACCTTGCAAATCCGCATCTTATGTTGCTTTCCCTCCTTCCTCCCTATTTGCCAAAATTAGCCTTCTTGATCGCACCATAGGGCAACCGCGCCTAAAATAACAATTAAGGCGCAATAACGGCACTGCTAAAAGAACCAAATGGGCACATTACAACGCGGTCCTTCCCCCACAGATCCATTTTCTGCCGCGATGAAGTTAGGCAGACGTCATCCCACGCGGTTCGCCCATATAAGGTGTCACCTGCCTCATGCCATGAGCTCGCCATATCCCCATTTCCTGTCCTTTTTGGGACGAGCTTGCAAAAGTCGCATTGATTTTTTTTTTATCGATCTAAGACTTACAGTGGCGATTCATTGAAACGTTTGTAAGTTCAACAATCCCCCCATTCCCCACTTGTATCCCGAGTGGGGGGACGAGTGGCATGAATCGGTAAAACTAATCTTATTTTGCGTTTATTGTCAATGCTATTCTAAAAACCTCTACCTAAATCGTTATCAACACCTACCGATTTCAACGCAAAAGCTTTCCCAGTCTCTTGGCTAAAAACTAAATGCCTACAAACTTGTTTTCCGGGTCTGATTCAGCAGAGTAAAAATAAACAATTACAAAAAAAATTGTAACAGCTAAGCGAGTACATAATTGCGCACGCACTCACTGGGGTCTAGATACATCGTTCCACACATTCCCCGGCACCGCAAGAACAATTTCCAGGTCCACGTAACGCGCAAGGAAGATAGAAAAGAAGTATACCCGAGGCCTGTCCGTAGCCCTGTATCTGGCGACGTCTGGCACCGAGAAAGGCGGTACAGCGGGACCGATGAGTCACAGATATTTGTGAGAGTGAGAGTTTAATGCACTGACACCTTGGCTTTCCCTTCGCGATTAACATGTAATCGCGGCCAAGCAAATCGCGGAATTTTGTTGTTCAAGACTCAAACTGCAATCCTGTTTAGTGGAGGAGGGGCAGTGCGTCGTCACGCACTTATCTGTTAGGGACGAACGGCCTCACGAACCCCATACCGGCATGCGCTCAGCTGTACTCGCCGCAGCTATCAACCGCACTGCCATTGTATCTTTATCAGTCATTGCTTAAATATTGTTGAACTTATCAAATACTTGAGATAACAGTAATATACGTACAAGTATACTGTACCTTAGCAACCAACGACAATGGAAAAATTAATTAAAGTATGGTAAAACATGGAGGACCAAACCCACTGGTTTGATAGTCATCTTGCCACATACGATTTACTGCTACTATTGTACTATTTCCACTTTAAATTTTACCGTTTCTCACTGCCCATATCCTATCCTCTCAAGAGCTTTACTGATATAATCGCTTTCTACTGCCTTGTTTTATTTTCCAAAATAAAATAGTTGCGATCATTAACTTGCTTTCATGTTTAACTCCAAGGCAACCCATAAGAACAATTCTGCTAATACAGCCGCAAAAATCCTTACAAATACTCTCTCGGGGAAGTCGGTCATGCTTGTCACGATCACGTTTTCTTCTGCGATAACAAAAGATAGAATCGTTCGCATTACATTAATGTATTCAGACCCCCAGACATTTCAATAGGTGTAGTTCTACGGTTAGTCGACACATTCTCACTATTTTCTCAGGAAGTTCGCCTTCAACCATGCACCTATAACCTTAAGATTTTAAACCAACAAAACAGACACTACTATCGAGAACATGTTCGTTACTTGTCGCACGCGCCTTTCACGTCATTGCCAAACACACCCACAGTCATCCACGCACGTACTAGAATGCACACGTACACGTAACAAGCAAGAAGCACGGACAGTCCCTGCATAATTCTTCCCTACAAAACGGAGTCTCTAAAATATCAGTACTTCATTCAGTACAACTGTCCTAAAACCAAGTCGAGTGTCACTCATCAAGTCCTTTAAATTAATGAATGCATATACGCATATTTGTAGTAGGTGTTAGAAGTTACCGTCAAATGCAACTCCTACTTGAAAACGGGAGATGCAAGGCGAGAATTCCGCCTACATGCTAGCTGACGAAACCGTTCATTTAACTTTAAAGCAACAACCAAAAAGTGACCGACCAAACCGAAGGATCCTATATCCTGCTCTAGTGCCTTTGACTTTCCCCTGAACTGTCGCGCTATTGATACCGCCCTATGTCCTACAAAAAAACGTCCTTTCGAACATACTCGCACGCCTACACCACCCTTGCCTCTGAAACCGCGCACC